GTTATCAATGCCAAACCACCTCTGCTTTGAAAGAAGCAAAACCTCCAGCAATTTTCTGTTTGCCCAAAGTTCCTCAGACCCTTCCTCTTCCTCCTCCCTTTGAGAACCTGCCTTTTACCACTCCCTTGTTTTTGTGTTTTCAACCATTGATCCATACAAATAGAGTGAACATTCCCTCTGTCTGTGGCTGGGAGGCAGCTGTTTCTGCTCAGGCTGTCATGTAATGCTATTGAAGCTGAATTCCCCTGGAAGGTCCCCACAAGATGCTGGACACATCTTGGCTTGCCCCAGCTTTGATGTTGTGACCACGTGCCTACAGCGTGTTGTGTTATGGGGAACAAGCACAATAGGAAGGAGTCCTTGTTGAAGTGTGACACTATTACTGCAAAATAGGTGGTGAGCTCATCTGTGACAGCTGAGAACCCACCATCTCATTACAGCTCAGGATGCTCATGTGGTAACATGTTTTGCTGCTTGTGTTTTGGCCCAGGAGCTGGGTGCCCTGGCAACCTGGTGGACCACCTACTCAACATTTCCTCCCTACTGGTTTGTGGCAGCTGGGAGACACTGGCGATCTGTGAGATGCCTGTCTATGCTGTGTTGGCTGCACGACAGCATCTCACCCCTCATCCCACCTGACCCATCTCGCTGGGTACTGACTGCCTGTGTCTTCAAAGGCTTCATGGTGAGGTTTCTGTATAAATCATGAGCAAAATGAAGGGAGTAGATAACTCTGAAGTTAAAAAGGCTGAGGAAAGCTGCACTGTTTGTGTCAGCTGCCAAAAAGCAGGGAGAGAGGCTGGATTTGCTGTCCTGTTTTCCTTGCAGATCAAATTCCTTATTCCTGGATATCTTCTGCTGTTTCCCAGTGCTTGTTTCATCCATATGTTTTTCTTGACTTAAATTTCCAGCCTCATACACCAGAATGGATGGCAACTGCCTTGGTGTTCATGCAGAGATAGATCCTGGTAACTTCTGGCATAGAGGTTTTGATTGGATGGGTCATCTGATATGCTCCTTGCCTAATCCCTGGCCCTCCTTATCTCTGAGCCCTGTGGCTACAGATCCTCCAGCTACCCCATCTTCCTGTCATGCTGCCTGTGATCCAGCACTGCCCTTCCACCATGGTCAGCAAGTCAATCAGTGGGTTGAGAATGTTCATGCCTGGCAACCCTGAATCCTTCATACTGTATGTGACATCCATTTCTGCTCATATCCGGTTGGTGACCAAATCCAGCAGGATGAGCAGATTTTCTAGGTTTTATGCAATTTATGACTTCTGATGGCTCGGGTTAATGTGCCTTTGAGAGCTCAGCTAATGGCAGTGCATGCCATGCTCTTGTTGGAACTTTGGAAAGGGCCATGGGAAGATTTCCCATCCCTTCCCAGCTCCTCCCTTCTCTGGGGAAGCTGTGCCAGGACAGAGTGCATGGCAGGGAACCATGCTGGCTGAATTCACATCCTGACCTTATCAGGAAAAATGAGACCAAAGGTTAGTGGGGAATGACATAGTGCAAGTAACTGGAACTACCTGCACCATGCTGCTGCACCCATGTGCTTTTATTGTTGCTTTTATTACTGCCTTGGGGTTTTTTTGCACTTAGAAGGGCTGGAGAGGAACAGGAATGAGTTAAGGGGGAGAGAAATATTGAAGGGGATAGAAAAATGTGGGAGAAAAAGCAACTCTGAAGTGCAGCACTGTGGTGGGAGAGGGTATGGGCAGTGGACTGAAGCAATTGGTGAAAAGGAAAACACAACTTAGATACAATTGGTCCATCAAAATGTGGCTTTCCCCCCTATTTCCCTTTCTAAGGAAGATGTTTCCCCATGTAAGCTCTAACACTAACTTTTCTACATATAACACTTCTTTCCTTGGCCCTCCCAAGTCTCTGAGCAAGGTTTTTGCCCTGAGAAAGTTTCTGTTTTCCTTGTTGTGTTTTTATAAATACGGGGGAAATTGTGACCTTGTGGAACTGGAGAGGAGGAATGATCCTTGACCTCAGAGAAGTGTTTTTAGTCCAATACATTTGGTTGCTTCTAAGCAATAGTTTGCCTTTGCACCACAAATGAATATCCCACTCTTTTTTTGCAGTTATAAATTCATACCTGTGGCCCGAAGCACTGCTATCCATTCCAGGTATGAGATTGTAAATTGTATGACTGCCTAGAAATGTGTGTGATTATCAGGATTCAATCACCACAACAAATAGGTGAAAGGATAACTGCAGGCTCCGCTGTCTGGCAGGCAAAGCTTACACGAAGTGCCACTGCTCTGGGCAGCCAAGACCCAGAGGCTTCTCCAGACACTGTTGCGCCACTCACTAAGAATCCATTTGGACAAAGACTGGGGGAAAAGCAACAACTCCTTGTTTACAGGTCCCAGGTTTTTCCTGGGAAAAGCTTCTCTTACCATATGTGTGAGATCCTGCCTCTGCAGCACTGAAAACCTCTGCTGGCATGAACCAGCAGCTTCTTCCACCTTAATGCAGAATGCTGCAGGGCAAAATCTGTGCTTGAGATGCTGCAGAGCTTTCCTACATACAGGAGTGTTTCTGAGACTGTCATGTTATTTTCAAGAAGTTTTGTCCTGTTGATGGTCCAAGGCTCTTAAAGCAAAATAAAGGGATTTTTTTTAGTTTGTTTTTGAATGGTTTCAAGGCTTACAAGTGACCTGCAGCCAGTGATTGTGTAAGAAAGGGGTAGGTGATAGAAAGCCTTTGCTGGAGTAGCCTTCCAAGCCTGCAGCAGTAGCTCCATTCATTTCCTAAATGACCAGCGATTACACAACGACTCCTTTTTGTTTTCCACCTCAGAGAAGTTCCTTCTATTTTTACAACAGCTGCACTGCCTTTAGATCTTTTTCTCTGTCATGCAAGGTTCATAGCACAAGAGCTGCTTGCCCTTTGAGCCCTGCCTATAGGAATTCTCCTTAATTGCTTTGGCTGGGTTTGAAAGGGCTGAGCAGCTCTCCCCAAGGACCTGCTCTCCTTCGATGTGAATACTTCCCAGTTGAATTTAGCTGTGTGCATATGACAGGTGAAAACAACTCTTATTCCAACAGACATTTACAGGATTTATGAAGAGCTTGATTAGGATAGGCAAGTTCAGAAAAATCCAGTGTCAAGGTCTAAAACCGTTTCTATCACATAACCTGTGCAGAGAGTTTATCCTAAAGAACTGATGATGCTCGTCTATGTACAAGTAGCCTAAAAGTCTCTTTAGTCTGTTGCTTCTGAAAGTCTCACCTGTGCTGGAGGTGATGGAGGATGCCAGTCAGGCATCAGGTCAGTGTAGCAGCCCCTAAGTCACCCCACTTCTGAGCTGGAGAGCAGCACTCTGTTTTTCTTCCCCTCCCAAAGAATTCAAAACAACAAAACTGACAATATATACCTGGAGTGAAATTTATCCATCCAGATGCTTCAATAGCTAAATAAGTACCAAATTCTGTCACAGGACTTCACCACTTTTCACTGGTAAAATACCCAACATGCAGTCAGACATGCAGGTACCTTGGCAGGTAACAAGTGAAAACATTTCCAACATCCTGATAAAATTGTCTTGGAGCACATCTCTGGTCCCAGAGAGTGAGGCACTTGCTGCTGCTTTCTTCTATTTCCAAATCTTGGTCTAACCTTTTTTCTGTGAACATTTCAATGCTGGGGGTTCTTTGCATGTGAGCGTATCTGTGAAAAGCATGCCCCCTTTAATGCATGAATGGGTGAATTAATCTCTACCTTATTTTTACCAATTTTTGCATCACAGAAAGTTTCCCATCTCTCTCCTGGCCCCTCCCCTAATGTATGGTAAATTTGCAAGGATTCTTAAAACTGATTTCCTCCATGTGTTGGTGATGCTGAGCTGGTGTCCTGCCCCAGGGCTAGAGGTAGCTCTAGGCCCTGCAGCCCCACATTCTTTCCCTGGTAGAAGCTGCTGCTGCAGATGACCAGGACACAAATCTGGTCATGGAATCATAGAATCATCAAATGGTTTGAGCTGGAAGGGACCTTAAAGCTTGTTTTTCTCCAGCCTTCATGGACATGAACACCTTCCACTAGACCAGGTTGCTCCAAGCCCTTCTCAATCCGGCCTTGAACGCTTCCAGGGATGGAGCAGTCACAGCTTCTATGGACAGCCTGTGCCGGGGCCTCATGACCCTCCAGAGTCAAGAATTTCTTCCAGTATCTATTCAGTCCAACCTTACCCTGTAGTCATACGCCCTTGTCCTGTCACTGTTAAAAGTTTAAGAGTTAAAAGTTGCTCTCTGTCTCTTTTATAAGCTCACTTTAAATACTTGAAGACTGAGAATCTGGTGGGTGATTTCTTTTCTTGTGCACCAAACGTTCCTGCTCTAGATCTGCAGAATTCTAGGTGTGTGTGATTTAAGGCAGCTCAGGTACTCAAGGATTCCCAGCTGGAGGAAATTTCCAACATGTGGACCTTCAGGCCATATACTCTGCCAGCGAAGGGGACAGCACAGTCCCCACACTTCTAGCTTCCACCCCTGCAGGGCCAGTATGAAGTCATCAGAAGCTGCTCTCTGCCCAAGGTGATTCCTAGGCTTGCCTGCCTCAGGCTGTGGCAGGGAGGGCTGGTTAATGATTAACAGGGCGAAGGGACCCCGCCCAGCCTCTCCCTCCCCAGGCTGCCCCTCTACTTTACTGTGCTGGATTTGAGATCCATGACCTGGTAATCAATTTTCCCTCTTCCCTCAGTAAACCTCTCATCTGTCCCTGCCCTGCAGGTCAGGGTGCAGCAAAGCCTGTGCCCAAGGCAGTAGGAAATGTCCTCTTTGTTCCAGCCCTTTGGGCTGGGCCTTCCTCTCCTGCAGCCCAATACTGTCCTTGGCTCTGGCCCAGAAAATGAAGTTATTCACCAAAGGCCAGCACAGCACAGGGGTTTTCCAGGCAGTATCAGTGGCTGTGACTCTCACACACTGCCCCAGCCTCACTTGTATCCAGCCATACATGATGCAATAACATTGGACCTTTACAGCATGAAGTATAGAAAATGAATCAAACATTCAGGGGAAAACCAGCTTGCTTTTCCGTTGCCTTCTGAATTGTGCCTGTGCTTTCTTTTTAGGCAAACCTGAGGTACTTAACTAGGGCTTCCCTGTTTATCTAATCCCAGAAGTCAATGCTATTGCTGATAAGAACGACCATAGCAGGACTTGTTGTACAGGATTTTTTAGTGTAGCCTGTAACCTGGCTCTGAGTCAGGTCTGTATTGCAGATGATGACAAATACAAACCAACTACCCCACAATGCACAGCACCAGGGCTTCCCTTGCCTTACATGTAGGCTTCCATCCATCAGCTGCACTTGGAAGAGGGTGAGGGGTCGAAAATGAGAGCAAACTAAACTCTCTGTCCTTTCATGAGTCATGAAAAAACCCCTCCAACTGTCTCTCTTTCAACAGCACAGCTGTTTGGGTATTTTCAAGGGAGCTGGAATGCATCCTCAGAGCTCTTCCATGAGAAAAAGTAAACATGTACTATATAAAACATTTTATTAAAACAAATATACAACACTTTATATACAAAAATAAAATGTACAAGAAAATAGTCTGTTACAGCTTAGTGATTTGATTCCTATCTATTACACACACACACAATAGAACCATTTCCATCCAGCACATACTGATCCAGAGGATCTGTGGGATGTTACAGCTTGTGTGCAGTACTGGAGGAATCCCCACAGAGTGCCAGAAGAAATTTGCAAAAGGCATGGTAAAAATAAAGAGCTCTGCCCCTATCAGTGCAAAATTGTTTCATGCAGCAGCTCTTGAACTCATACGAGGAAAGGGATATGGCATGCCTACGGCAGAGAACATCCTATGAGTGCACCTGGGGATTGGACAAGGTGGAAGCAAAGCCTAAGCTGAATTTTCACATTTAAATGGTCTATTTACAGAGTTTGAAAGGTCTGAAAGATGAACTATATGATGGAGTAAATCAAAGAAGAGAGCCCATTAGTGAAATTTTTCTGCAAAAGTGTCATGACAGTTGTTAAGCTCAATGTCACCAGTGTTGCACGGGTAAGAAGCAACCAAAAGTAGTAAGTCAGAGACTTATCTGCAGTGTCTCCTCTAACTACTCTGTGGGTAAAGTGCTCATCACGCCACACATGGGGAGGATGGTAACTTGCTCCCTAGGCTTCTGGTACCCCACCAGGTCAGACTCCACAGCACAGTAGCACCTTCCAGCAAAAGCTTCACCTCCAGAGCAATAAGGTAGGAGCTGCAGCTGAGCACCTTCAGCGCCAGAGTCCTGCTAGCAAGGTGGGGTTCCTTTTTTACGTTGATAATGGTGTTTTTCATGCTAACCTTTCCAGGCCTACAACTGAACCTGAATAGAAAAGTCACTTTCTTCCTTCAGTCAGTAACAAAAAATGTCTTCCATTCTTTCCACACTTCTTGATATTTCTATCCAAGAGCAGTTTGTGGTTGGAGGGAGCAAGGGTTTACAATCCACAGGGAATGACTTGCATGGTTGGCCTCACTGTATCCAGCCAGGAGAAGTCTAGGCTGCTTTTCTGGTCAAAGAACCTGAAATCCAGCTCTCCTAGATAAAAGGAACAGAGAACGGACACTGAATTAATGCAGCAAGAGTAAAATAGTCTATAGATATATTAAAAATAAGTATCAAACATTGAAAGATAAATGAGAGTAAATACTTTAGCTTATTCTTTTTCTAAAATACATCAAACACTTTTTTTTAGCCGTTTCATTTAAACTATTGCTAGAGAAAATTCTTCAGTTATATTCCAAAGAGTTCCTGAAAGCTGACCTAATTTACACATGTATAACCCTGAAATCTGTAGGATTTGCTTATTTGAGGTGTTTTTGACTTTTCCTTTTTATGAACAAATTCCTTACAGCTTTCCAGTAGGCTGCTTGGAAATCTCAGAGCACGAGGATGGTGAATTCCTCCATTTCCTTTGCTGCCTCCCAATTAGTGCCTTATCTGCATCATCCTGTGGCCTTGACTGTCAGGGATAGCCCAGGAGCCTGTACCTGATGTCGTGTTAATGTCCACATCCTGCTCCTTGTAGCTGTAGGTGCTGCACAAGGTCTGGGTGCCTGATTCATTGGTGAGAAAGCCTTTCCCCCCAATGCTGGTGTTGTGCCAGTCTTGGGCTGGTCCAAGCAGCTGGAAGAGAAGAAGATGGTAAAAACTGCTCCTTACTGCTGTGGGTGCAATGTTTGATTAATTGCCCTTAATTAGAAAACAGGTAAACAACAAGATCAAGTTCTATTTTGTCATGCTACATTATATAAAACTTGTTTTGTTACAGTTAAAAAAAAAAGTTCATGCAAAACAGCAAGGGCTAGAACATCTTTTCCTATCTTATCAGTGGGATGAATGTGACATGTCTGGACATGCAGATTAGGAGCTAAACATGTCAGAGGTAGAGGGAAGGGCAAAATAGAGAAGTCTAGAGGATCTTTGCAGACCCTAATACAAGAACCTGAGATCAAGGAAATGGCCTCAAGTTGTGCAGGGGAAGTTTATATTGGATATTATGGAAGAAATTTTCATGGAAAGGATTGTCAAGCATTGGCACAGGCTCTCCAGTGAAGCGGTGGAGTAATCATCCCTGGAAGTTTTCAAAAACATGAGGATATGGCACTTGAGGACATGCCTTAATGAACATGGTGGTGGTGCTGGGCTGATGGTTGGACTTGATGTGTTAGAGATCTTTTTCAACCTTAATGATTCTATGAACCTCTACTCCTAGCAGTACTCAGTAACTTCCTCTGACTTTCACATGAAGGGTAAATATTTCCATGGGTGTGTTCTTTCCAGTTCATGTTTGCAAAGGAGCTTTCTCTTTATATTTAATTTTTCAGGCTTCCTCATTAAGAAAGTGTATATTCAGCTCATAGGAGACTGGATCAGATACCTGCTTCCCTTCCTCTGTTGGTACAAACACCAACTTTGGCCAATTTTACTCTGACCAGAAGGGCTGGTTTTACCTTAAAAATATCTGGATTTATCTCCTCCTCATCTTCATCTGTGACTGTTTTGTAAGCACATAAAAAAAAACAAGAAAACATAGATGTCAACTTTTAGGCCTCATACATCTGCTTCTTCACCACAGAACCTGCTTCATATTCTCTTGTCACACAACAGGACTACTTTTTATTCATGCCCACGCGAGACTCCTAACAGCCCTTCACCTCTGATGCTCTTCAACAACGGCATGTTGAGGTGCAGAGCTCCAGCCAGCTCTGATGCCTCCTCAGGACTCAATAGAGCAGAGCCCACTTGCTGTGGAAGATGACAGGAGGAAGATGATTTGCACCCCAAGTGAAGAACCACTCTGGTATATGTATGTTAATTATTTATTTCCCCAGTGGAAAGCATGGCTACCTCCACCATCTCTGCTGGAGCAGGTGGAATTTCAGAGCTTTTCACCCATGGGCAGATGGCATGTGCCAGCTCTTCCCTTCTCCACCCTGGCTGGTTTGGTAATTCCAAATTCCCCAATCTATAATTTTTTTACAAAACAGCTCATGTTTCTCCTGTTGGTCCAGGCACTACTTCATCCTGATGCCTTGCCTCCAGCTTGCTTCCAGCAGACCAATGAAAGACTGGGGTAGGAAAAAAGAAATACCCACCTTCAGAGGATGAAGCCAGGGGAGACACCTGGAGCTGGTAGAGGTCGTTGGTGCTGTCAGCCATGGTGACTTGCATTGCTGGCCTCCAATCAGTCAGGGAGCCGCTCACCTTGCAGGAGGACAGGTCTGTGGGATGCACCAGGAGCTGGTACTCACAGGAGAGAGAAAACCACCTCTGTTTCCTCCCTGCCAGTCTGACGCTGCAGCTGCCCCAGCCCCAAGACTCATCTCTGACCGTGGGTTTAGCACAAACAGCACTTTCCACTCTGCTCAGACCTAAACCCAAGTGTCTCACCTAAGGTGATGGCTGTGCTCTCCACCTCCACTTCCTGCCCTGCATAGTTGTGAATGGTGTAGCCACTGTGGTCATCTGGCAAAGGAGGGTTGGTTAAGCTTTCTGCCGGCTCTTTCAGCCTTGTCTCTTCATAACACTATGAAAACAAGGATAAAGCATGAAAGACTTGTGTCAGTACACACAGGTCCCCATACGAAAAAAAGTTAAGAAAGAAAACCACCAAAAACTCTAGCTTCTTCAGCTGCCTCTACCGACACATACCTTTCTCTTGCTCCTGTTTCTTACTTCTCTTGAAGACTTTGACTTCCTTTCTGTGAAATAAAATAAGACGAATGTGAGAAAAGGTTGTACATTTTAGGCAAGTGTGAGCTCTTGCAGCCTTGAAACCTGCTCAGCAAGCTCAACTACCACAGCACCAGCCAGTCCCCATGACCCCTTGATGCTGCCTTTAGGCATGTTTAAGGAATTTGGGATAAAATTAATTGTTTGTACAAGCTGTTCCTAGCAATAATCAGTGAGCAAGCCTAGTAGCACCAGTGCTACTACCAACAGGTCTGTTAGCCCTGCTTATATAGAGCAGGACATTTAAGTGCTGTTTACCAGTGTAACTTTGGCTGGATTGCCAAGGGTTTACCTTTCTTCTGATGCTTTGTCAAGGGTGGCAGCATCCTGTAAACCCTGACAGCACTGGAGCCCCTGTTGATGCTTTTATCCTTCACTTCTTCGATGTCAGGCAGGGAATTCATGGCACAGCGGAAATTTGCTTTCCAGGTTTTTGGATCAGGATCTTTCTCACCTTCTTTATACCTTCCTATAAAGGTAGGGTTGTGTATTTTAGACTTTCCAGTGCTGGCTTTTCCCACCAAAAGATACCAACATTCTATTTTCTGATATATACACTACTAGTTAGTCTAACTACCAGTGTAAGTCAAGGCAAAAAAATGCCTTGTATAAGACAGTCATATGACTGATGGGAATGTTAATCCAGCACACACCTGTATGAATGGCCCAACTCCGGAAAAGGCAGGCATCCTTCTCCATGTCCCAGCCATGCTTAGCTGCATGTTTCCATGGAATTTGAAATATCCTCTTATCCTGAAATTAAACCAATAGAGATTTAAATTACAAAAGAAACATCACATGCCAGTTTGGAATGATGGATTTAATCAAGTTCTCAATTGCAGCTCAGAAATGTTATAACCCACCCTGTTCTATGTTTTAGAGCACGGGGGTTATAGCTATTGGCATATAACTACAGTGGCTATTTAATCTATATTTTAATTAAATAGCCATTGTTCCATCTATTTTGTTCATGGCATTTAAGGCTTTTTATGGTTTCTGAAACTGGGAAAAAACCCAAAGGTGCTACAGTACAGTAGAAGTGAGCAATATTATTAACGTTATCCTAGAATAATTTCAATACATCACATCTAATCTATTAGTATGTCACAAATTACAGCATTTTTTCTAGATACGCTTTGTCAGAGAATCCTTTTTTAAGTTGCCCATAAGATCCTGCAGCAATCGTACAAAAAATGTAGCTTAAATATCCTCTTGGGATGGATATGGAAACTTCAGAGACTTGCTTCAATAAGCTCAGTGATCTCGACCTGTGCTACACCCTGGTGACAGACCTTTCGGCCTTACAGACCGAAAAATACAACATTTCCTTTGGGCTGAATCTTAAAAATTGAAGCAACTGGAGTATAATAGCAGCTGCTTATCTGGGACAGGAGGTGACTTGGCTCAATGAACAGCAGGAGTTAAAAGAGATTTTGAAGGTTTATTCATTCTCCAACATACTCAGAATGTTTTCATTGCAATTTATCATTCATTCCCTTCCTGGGAATTTTCTGAGGGAAAAATGGAACTACTCCACTGTGTACCAACCAGAGTTACCTTTTCTGCAAACAAAAACTGCTGCTTTTTAAACATAATGCTGTCAAGTTTTTTCTATGTCTTTTCCTTTATGATCTTGACTTGTGTTTAGTGCCATTTAAGAACAAGGATTGTTAATGATACACAAGTAGTACTAATAATGATGATAATAGTACAAAGCAGCCTCACCTTGTTAATCCATATCAGTCCTGGTATTTGATTGGAATCAATCTGCATTTCCAACCAGGGCCTCATGCGCATTCTTGACACTGGCATATTGGCTGTGAAAGAAGTAACAAACAGGTCAGACAAACCCTGATTACTATTTCAACCACTCTACAGTGTCGCTCCTCCCATACCTTCTGTGCTCAGCATCACCACTAATGCGACCGAGAACTACTTTTCCAGAGTCTTAACTCTCATTCAGCGCCCCTCACCTGCTCCTGGAGGGAAATGCTTCCTGCTCCACCTGTCTTAGCTTCAAAACAGGGCTCAGGTTTGGAATTCGGCAAAGACGTCGATGGCAGCATGGGTGTTCAGCCCGTGCTGTGTGGGGAGCTCTGCATGGGACCGGTTAGGCCGCGAGGAGCCCGGTTCCGAGCCCCGTTGTGGGAGGGATCCTCCCGCCAGCACCGCCACTGGGTGCGGGTGTTCCCCGATCTACAGCCACGGAGAGGCACCGACTGCACAATCCTCTACTTAAAAGTTTACTATTAATTAAGATGCGCAAGGTAGGGGGCAGCGGTCCTGCTTCAGGTGCGATCCCAAATTCCACCACGACCCGTCCCGAGAAACGGTGCCCGGCGCTGCCGCCGCAAGGACCGGCCCTGCTGGCGTTTCCTTTGCACAAATAATTTCCTGTTTGCGGTGTTTTTCCAAGACAAACAGGCCAAGATTGCCGAAAGAACACGTTTCTAACTTTCACCAGCAATCCGCTCCGCGGGGACGGGACGAGGTCCTGGAAAGTGCCCGCCCCGGCCAGGGTTTGCCAAGGGCAGCCCCGAGCAGTGGGGCTCGGGCCGCCCGCTCTGCCCGGGGCTAATCGGCGGAGTGGAGCCGTACCCGGCCCCGTGGGTGCGCAGGGACAGCCCGCCGAAGCCTGTCCCCTCCCAGGGCTTGTGCGCTGCACCGCGGCCGCTGCCCGCAGAAGGGATGCGCGGTGCCCACCCCGACGGCTGCCGGAGCGATACGCCCGTTCCGCCTCCAAAACTCCTCCGCACGACAGAGGCCGGCGCTGCCGCCTCTTGACGAGCAGAGTCGCGCCATGCCTCCAGCACCGCTCCCATGGATCCTGCGGGGTGCCTTGTCCTGAAACTTCCGTGCTGCGCAAAGTGGGGGGGCTAA